AAGTCAGGTAACAGCAACTTGTACCGCATAGCCAGAACTAGTCTGAGGAAGGGCATTCACCAGGCAAAGAGAGTCTACAGGAGGAAAATAGAAGACCTCTTTCTCAACAACAACCCCCGGAAGATGTGGAAGGGGATCCAGACTCTGACCAACTACAGAGGCCACACTCTGTCCAACACTGGCAGCAGCAGAACACAGGCAGAGGAGCTAAACAACTTCTTTGCTCATTTTGAAACCACTGCCCACCCACTTTTGCAACCCCCCCACAACATGAGAAACCCCACTCCTCCCTCTCTCATCCTCTAGGAACATGAGGTGAGAAGAACATTGAGAGCAGTAAACCCCAGGAAAGCTGCCGGACCAAACGGCATACCAGGGATCGTGGTCAAGGAGTGTGCCAGTGAGCTGGCAGGTATCCTCACCAAGTTGTTTAACCTCTCCCTGTCTCATGCTTCAGTCCCGAGCTGCCTCAAGTCTGCAACAATTATTCCCATCCCCAAAAAATCTTCCATAGACAGCTTAAATGGCTATCGACCGGTTGCCCTCACACCTGTAATCACAAAGTGTCTGGAGCGACTTATCTCCAACCACATCCAAGCCTGTCTCCCCACCTCCTTCGACCCCCTTCAGTTTGCCTACCGGGGAAACAGATCAACAGAGGATGCCATCACCCTGACGCTGCACACAACACTGAGCCACCTAGAGACCAGAGGAAGCTACGTCAGGATGCTCTTTGTTGACTTCAGTTCAGCTTTCAATACCATCATCCCAGACATTCTTATCTAAAAACTGCTGAGCCTTCAGATCCCTCCCTCCACCTGCCACTGGATAAAAGACTTTCTCACAAGTCGACCACAGCATGTTCAACTTGGCTCCCATCTCTCCTCCTCCATCCTGCTCAGTACTGGCTCTCCTCAGGGCTGTGTGCTGAGCCCCCTACTGTACACTCTGTACACATCGGACTGTACCACATCCCACGCATCCACTGCCATCTTTAAGTTTGCAGATGACACCACTGTGGTCGGCCTCATCACAGACGGAGATGAGGCAGCTTACCGGGCAGAGGTCAGTAATCTGTCAAGGTGGTGCTCAGATAACAACCTCACTCTGACTATACAAAAAGCAAAAGAGCTCATTCTGGATTTCAGGAGACACAGTCACACACACGCCCCTCTCCTTATAAATGGAGAGCGTGTGGACCGTGTCCCCTCCATCAGGTTCCTCGGCACCATCATCTCTGCTGACCTGTCCTGGTCTGCCAACACCAGAGCTATGGTTAAAAAGGCTCAGCAGCGGCTGCACTTTCTCCGGGTCTTGAGAAGGTGCGGCCTGGATCAGAAACTGCTGCTGGCTTTCTACCACTGCTCCGTGGAGAGCACCTTCACCTACTCCCTGAGTGTGTGGTATGCAGGCTCCACTGCTGAAGACAGGAAGGCTGTTCAGAGGACAATAAACACTGCCCAGAAGATTACTGGCTGTACCCTGCCATCCCTGGAGGCCATCTCCAGAACCCGCTGCCTGAAGAGAACCGCTGCTATCCTCCATGACCCCACCCACCCTGCCCACTGCCTGTTTGAACTGTTGCCCTCAGGGTGCCGCTTCAGGTCAGTTAGATCACACACCACCAGACTTTCCAACAGCTTCTTCCCTTGGGCCATCAGAACATTCAACATAACAGCACCATTCAACCCCCCACATCCCATCAGTAATGTGTACTCATCTGTTTTAAATTGTTGTTTTAGCAGATCTGAACCACTGGTTGTACTTTCTTGTTGTTTGCTAAATGTTTTTAATTGTTTTTAGTCCTTTATGGTTTTTGACATTTATTGTCATTTATTGTCTTGTGCACTGTTGATGGCGGACCATCTGTAATTTAATTGCCATGAGCAATTACACTAAAGTCTATTCTATTCTATCTACCTTTGCACTAAGTAAAAAACAAAAAAGATCGTTTACATGTTACTTCTAAGCCAAATCCTGGCCCGCTACGTGAACAAGCAGGTGTCCACTACACTGTCTTCTCCTCTCACTCTCTCTTACCTCATTCCCTGTATCTAACAGGCACTTCTGATTGCCGTACCCACAGCATATGCCTCCTTTCATACCCTGAAGGGTCTTCTGCTTTTGCATATTAGCTCCACTGCCCTTGCCAATACTTGATTAACATTTGTGTTAAAGCCTTGATTTTGCTGGAAAGAGGTGGCTGAGGGCATCAAATTAGAGCGTGTGCGCGAGTGATTGTGTGTGAGCGTAATGAGAATCAACAGAAAGCCAAGGCTCTGTGTGAAGGGGGCCCCACGTTTGCTGCCACCGCAGGATTTTATTTTCATTTCAAAAGAATCATTTAAAAATGACCTTTTATACAGCATGGATTTGTTTATTCATGTGCCCTCAACATGGGCATCGCATGAGGGGCAATATTGATTGCTGGGTGAGCAGTGGGTGGGGTTGGGTAGGGTGGTTGGGGGAATGGATCCCCACAGAATGGGAAAGGTGGAGGTGACTGATGTACCACTTGTGGAATACAAAAAAACAATGGTGCAATCTCTGTGATATTCATATGAGCATCTAATTACTCGAAAGTCGGTAGGTTTATGGTGAGGCACACAATGTCGCACACAGCAAGACACATGGTGAGACACACAGCAAGACACATGGTGAGGCACCAGGTGAGGCACACAGTGTCGCACACAGCAAGACACATGGTGAGGCACCAATGTCAATGCTCTTTTGATGTGACAACTTATGACCAACTTCACAGTGGCTGCACAATGACGGAAGCTCTGAGACGATGTCGCCTCAAGCGTTTTCTTCTTCCTCCTTTTTTTCACATCCTCCTATCTCAAACCTCTCAACAGAGAGTATTCATTAAGAGGAACCGAGTGAGGGTCGTAAAGGGGGGGGGGGGGGGGTACAAATTACTGATAATGGCACAGTGCTAATGAAGAGAATGGAGAAATGTCATTAGCATTTAAGAGGATAAGATCCATCTGACCCGCCACCGCCAGTCGCTTTCTAGCTCCACTCACTTAAGGAAGCAGGAGTGTACAACTGATACCCAGAGCCTGATTTGCATGGCTGAGTGGACAAGGACGCTGATTGGTATAGACCTCCACACACACCCCTTTACACACACACACAACTCTCCCAGCCTCTTGTTTATGCATCACAAACAACACGCACATGTCTACTTGTTTCCCCTCCATTCACTGGTAGCAACAGTTGACAAGCGAAAACAGCAAAGCCGGCGACGGCAAACAAAACAAATCAATGAGAACGCACAAACAGCGCCGCAGTTTCGAATGTGAAAGACGGGCGGATGAAAGGAGCCGCTCTTGATCCTCGCAGATGCATAAAGAGTTATTAGCGGGAGCAACCGCACCTTCTGTGACCTTTGACCCGCTCGCATTACCTGTAATGATATCAGTAAGAGGAGCAACATTGTGCTGCTGGCAGATGTGCTTGGCTGGCTGATGAAAAACACGGAAACATGTGCGCTTCTGACCGCCTTACAGAGAATAGGGAGAGCTTCAGTAGAGGCTCTCTTCTCTGACACCAAACGAGAGAATAATGAGAATTTCTGCATCACTAATGACTGAAGCTGCTCTTAAGGAGTCTAAAAAAGATGGGAAAAAAGCGAAATGTGGATTATTTGGTGGTTCTGGTTTGAACGTGAGTCAACATGAAAGTACATAAACAACCCAATGAAGCAGAAAATTGAGTTTTAAGGTATTAAGTCAAAATTGTATATGAAGGGACGTTACCACTAAATAACAGCATTAGTTAATTTGGCTATGTTGGAAATGAGCCACTAGATGTCCCCATTTCTGCCTTTTTAAATAGGATCACAGAGAGCTGTTAGTGCAGGATGGATGCTGGCTTCAACTGAAAATTTAACATGATTTTACTTACCTTTGTACTAACAATGTTAACTTAACATATTTATCTACTGATGGACTATTGAGTATAGATCTCAGATCTATAAGTGACTCCTAAATCCAATTTCCTGTTGATTTTCTGTTACAGACTTTGCCTAAAGGCCTATGAGAATGAAGTTTTCCAGTTTTTCATTTCAGAACAAAACATTTTTTATCTGGGAAGCTGAGAAATAACGAAAGAAAAACTAAAGTTTGAGAGGAAAACAAAGTGTTTTTGTGGTATGTAATGGCATAAAAAAGATAACCTTTCACAATAAAAGGATTTACCAGATTTATGTCTGAAATTGTGTTTTAATCACTACAATCAGCCAAACTGCTTATTCACACAGACTGTGTTCCACATACATCATAACTCACCTGTGTGTGTATAGTTACTTCAAACACATCAGAATCTATAAATATATTTGTGATAAAGCAATAAATCCTCTGAGTTTCTTGTTATTAATTTCTGGGCCGGCTTTAAGAACAAAAACACCAAAACATAAAAACAGTCCCTCTAATGCACGTACTCACCTGAAACTCATCAAAACACAAGAGGCAAATTTCCTTGCTGATCTCCATGGCAACCGGCGATATGGGGTCATAGGTGAACATTTTCCCCAGCTTTCGTTTTGGCAGGCTTTGTTTCCTCCGATGGATCCCTGTAAGCAAACGGCGGGCACATCTTAGAGCACACCTGCATCGGCAGCCTAAACCTCCTGAATAAAGCTGTAATTTCACCTGGATGCATAATGGCAGACAATTAGCCAGGGGCCTTTGGGACCAACAGGGAGATAAATACAGGCTCGCCGGGACGTGGGGAGTTTAAAATATAAAAAAGTCATGCAAGCAAGTCTTTGTGGAGTAAAATGGAAGAATAACACCTACGTTTGTGGACGTCCAACATGAAACTATTGAAGTGGACTCGCTTTTTACGGCCGTTTTCCACGTGAGAGTAAAACAAATCCATGAGCATGGTCTTCCCTGTGCCTGAAAGGTCAAGAATTTAGGCAAAAAATAGGTACTTATAAAAACGTACCCTAAAATAGGAAAGGCAAGGCAGCTTTATTCATAAAGCACATTTCATACATGGAGGCAATAAGAATAGAAAAGAACATTAAAATCTATGTGACAGCACAAATGAAATACACACAAATGAATTTCAGATTTAAGCATTAAAAAGGACAAAGTGAAAGGGTGAGCAGTTACAGTGCAGAAGGTGCAGCATGAGAACATTCAATCAAAGGCTGATGAAAACATGAAGGTTTTCAATTTTGATTAAGAAGTTTCTAGAGTTGGGGCACGTTTGAGGTCACGAGGAAGCCGATTCCATCTGTGAGCAGCATAGTAGCTAAAAGCAGCTTCACCCTGTTTGGTTCTGACCCGGGTTCTACCAGCTGACTGTTTCCTAATGATCTCAGAGCCCTGCCGGACATATATACAGGAAGGACATGTATTCTGGCCCCATGAGTGGCCATTGAGTGATTTACAAACTAGTAGTAGGGCTTTGAAACCTGATCTGTAGTTTACTGTAACCAGTGTAGAGATTAAGAGCAGGAGTGATGTACTCGGTTCTCTTGGTTCTTGTTAAGACTCTAGCAGCAGCATTCTGACTAAGCTGCAGTTGCTTCACAGCTTTTTTGGGAAGACCAGTCAACAGACCATTGCAACAGTCCAGCCTGCTGTAGATGAATGCATGAAGGAGTTTCTCCAGATCTGAATCAATTATGACACCACATTTCTAACCTGGGTCTCGTATATAAACATAAATGAGCTATGAATGCACACTTACCAACACCTCCATAAATGTAGAGACCTTTAGGTGGCAGTAATGGTGGGATGGGTTCCTCCTTTGGGGTGAAAAAGTGAAGTTTATATCATAACCGTTGCTTTTTTAAATAATTAACCCCATAATCAGCGTGAATTCTTTATTAAAAGACACAAAACGCCCACTGACCTGAATATTTATATTCATTACCATACTTAGCCCTCTGGAGGCAGGCGTTGCAGATTTGCAACAGTTAAAACCTGCCTACCTGGTTACTCCACATGAGCATTTGTAACTCAGAAGTACCCCCGAAGGACTTAGTTGTTCGTCCTTTTATCTAAACTTATTTTGAGCCTGAGAGGGTTAACCGACTCATCTTTTAATAAACAGGGTATGCTAAGGCATTAAGCCACTGGCGCTACAGTGTGAGGTTTCATCTTCTCCAGACTAGCCCACTGCAGGGGAGGAAGACAAAGGGGATCTAATCAACAAGACAAGCCAGGGTTCCCACGAAAGAAAAGCATCATCAGAGGAACAATGGGGGGATTTGTCAGACAAAACGGAGAGGACTGGATGAGGCTCCATACGGGATGGAGTGGACTTGTCTGTGCAGCCTGTTTAGCGCTGCTAATTGTGATACGGTACTGTTGCATTGAGGTGCTGCTGGAAGTCATTGTGCTGCCTGCCTCCTATTATCAAAAGGTATTTGCTTAAAAAAAACTGCTTCTATGAGACCAAGCTGAGAATACAGAATAAAGCGAAAAATCTCTAAAGAGGGCCCAAGCGTGTAAATCAATCTGCCCATCAGTTAAGTGCATGTAGCTGCAGTTGGCAAACATTGTGGTTGAGGATTCTCCATCTCTGTGACCGGGCAACACCGACTGGCTCTGGAATTAGATCATTCACTCGTCAGAAGGGATTGTCCTCATAATATTTAATTTACCAACCATTTCATGAGGACAGTACTTAATGTCCAGGTGCACTCGGTCTCCGCTGCACACGGAGCACTTGACTCTGATAAATGTCAGCAATGGGAGATTGAAAACTAAATTAAAAGCCCAAACATGTTGCTCATCCTCTCTCTGTTGCTCTCCCCTTGTTGCGCCTGCTCTCCTTCCCATCAACCCCCAAAACCCTGTTCATTCAACTCTTCTGAGCTGAGCTGGATGCAAAAAGCTGGAAGAGCAACAAGCTGTTCCTGTCTGTTCTGGCATAACAGCGTGTGACTTCTCCCTGACTTCCCAGGGTGCCCTCTGGCATGGTGGGGTAATTGTCAGTAGTGGCTGGTAGCCATTCTGCTACAGCAGAGTGGAGAAGGACAAGACTGTCCCTCAGCTAACTGAGCTCTGTAGCCCAGTCTCGCCTCCCCGATGGGAAGATACTGATTGGCACATGAGTGGAAAGTTCACATGCAGGACACGGCCCCTTTGGCTTTTTAAATTACTGGAGAAAAAACCCATTAGAACCAGTTTGTTTACAGCCAATGATGCCATGTCCCAAACTAGCATTGTTAATGAGGAGGTTGTGGAGAAGCGAAGTTAGGTTCAACTTAAATAACTGTCCTATTTAAGGCCTGCGGTGTACAGAGGGACTTCATGGTGCATGTCTGACTTGAACGGGGTAGCTCTCACACTCAACAATAGGCTATTGTCAGCCAACCATCCGCAAAACCACGCCACATTGGGTCAATATTAAGTCAAGTGTACTCTCTTCACAGACTTGGTCAGTTAACGAGGACAATAGCGGCACTCTCACAGAGAACAGACACCCAAAGATGGTGGTATGACCTGATTTAAACTGGAATAATTGCATAAGTACTCCAGTCTGTGCATACGTGAGAGACTGTGCAAGAAATAAGGTGCAGACGTGGAGAAGTGGGTGGGATGGGGTGGTCTTTGGTGCTGCTCGTGCCTCAAACACCAAAGGCAATTGTCAGAACCCCAAACCAAAAGCAAAAAAAAAAAAAAAAAAAAGGACAAGAAGGACCTAAACAATAGGGATCCCCTCATTACTGCATGGGGATGGTGAGAGAGTGAGAGAGGGGAGTGCCGGGACGAGCCCAGTGGGAGGTCTTCCAAAATCTCTGCCTAAACTCTGTGTGTCTGTGCCAGCCAACCCCGAAAAAGAGAACTCCCAGCTCCGAATATGAGACAGTCAGCTCCTCTGACCTCAAAACAACAACAGCCCCTTAGATGCATTATGCTGCTCCATTACTAACACACATAATAAACTTCCCCAAACCCCACCCTCCCTTTGACCCGAACCTTGTGGCTACCAGCGTCGATGCAACTGGTATACGGTCAAGTCGACCCTGTAATTCCCCCAACGCTTAGAGATTTAAACCAAATGCTCCAAAGCAAAAACACTCAAAACAAATCAATGCAGCTTTATTAATCCCACGTCTGCAATTACCTTTTTTTCCACTTTACAGCACTAGCCTATAGTATCAGAAGCCCTCTCTTTTAGGTTTAATTATAAAGTTATATAAAGTCAACTAATTGGCACTTGGGCAGTCTCCTTTAACAAGATGCACACCAGTGATTTAGAGTTTCAGTTAAACTCCATGTAGTGATCAGTGAGATGTTACAGAAGAACACAGAAACACATGTAAAACTGCAATAAAATATACATTTACAGTAGAAGCAAGCTATCTCATCCTGTAGCTCTTGTTTACCTTTCTACTTGATGTGACGTCATCACCCTGAGATTGCCTGCTAACCCCTTTCGAGTGATTTGGTGGGTTCAGGTAGATTTTTTGGCTGTAGGTTTTTAACTGGTGCTGCACCTGAGCTAGCCGCTGGAGGACATATATCTGCTGATCATCTCTTCTCACAGAACCACGCTGAACCAGGCGATCAAAGTGACCTAATACGTCACCAGAGCCACAAATACCCGCTTCTAATGGAGAGTCCGAGGATCTCAATGACGAGGATGAGCAGAATGTCCTCCAGCAGCTGGAACCTGCTATGGACAGAAGTGTGTTAGTCACTGTTTATGTTTAAAAAAAGACAGGAAAACCGTGTCAGCGGACTCTTTTTTACATAAAAAGGCTGATTAATGCTTACTTTTTCCAGATAAACTGCTAGTCAGAAGAGAGGTTTTCTTTACAGTCGGAGGTCGTTCTTTTACTATGACTTTTAAAGCACATCTGACACCTGTGCGGACCTGGTGGGCTGCCATGTTTCAAAACCCGAAAACTTTATTGCAACGCACATGCACGTCACTAACATGTTCTGGTACATAATTTTTTTTAATAATAAACAATTATTCATTATTTGTCAAATTGCTCAAGAGTGTATGCCTTAGCTTTCAAAAAATTATATGAGGGATAGAGCACGATTAATGTTTTTAAAACTTGACAACAATTTATCTCAAATGAATTGAATAATAATAGGAATGTATCTATTTTTTTAATTATGCTACTACTACTACTCGTAAATTCCTCAAACGTCCCCGTTTTAAGGTTGTAAACAGACACGATGATCATTAAGCAGCAGGGCCCTGTCAGCTGAACCTCAGCTGACCGGAAGTAGAACACATGGAACTCGCAAATCAGTGATAAATTACGTTTCCGTATTGTACTTTCAATATAAAAGCTTGTCTTGTACACTTCGTAAGTAACAACAACAAAATAACCTCAAAACGCAAAGTAGCCTAAATACTTTTTAAAAATAGCAATGCCATCTTACTTAAACTGTCTTTTTTTAGAAATAATTTCCATTACAAGAACGTAAAGGTTTTAACTGTTTTATTTTGAAGAGTTTTCCCATAAAGTACACATTCTTATTCCGCCTAACTTGACAGGTCTCTTAGCTGCTACAAGAACTGAGAGAAATGGCCGATGCTATAGCTGACACAAGAAGGCTCTACACCAAGCCTCAGAACTTAAACGACGCGTATGGACCTCCAAGTAATTTTCTAGAGATTGATGTGAGCAACCCGCAGACTATCGGGGTTGGCAGAGGCAGGTTTACAACGTACGAAGTCAGATTGAAGGTGAGCCTGCAGCAACAAATCCTAGTGACGTTAGCTTGGAGTTAGCCACGCAAGCTAAGCTAACATTACTTTTAGTCAAAGAAAGTTAAATTTTCTTAATTTTAGCGGATTGTGAGTAATTATTTGTTATACTGTAATCAACAACTTAACATAAACTACCAACAGTGACTCAAGAAAATACACATTTAACGTTAAGTACAATGTGCTTGTTAAATAAGGGAGTCTGTTTACATTTCCTCATCTATGTTGGTGTTACGGTGCTGCTGGATTAAGAGTTTACGTAAGATCTATGTGTACATAGTATATGCAGTTATATGCATCATCTTTGTAGAGAAAATGTTATCAAATTGTTTTCCTGAAAAGTTTAGAATGAACCTCCAGCCACACCCCGTTGCTTGACTGTGTAGATAACTGCCTCAGTCACACCAAATGACCAAGACGTGACAGTCAGCCTGTACGACTGAGAACAATGTCTCCCGTCATAGAACTGGAATATTACTCTCTGCTGCTTCGTTTTGGTTAGAAAATGCCACGAATATTAACAAGTCTATGCAAAAGTAGTAGAGCTGCTTCAACATTCCAAGCAATACGTCAAAGTTTTCAGCACTTCCATCCATCCATTTTCTGAACCCGCTTGTCCACGTAGGGTTTATCTGTCCAAACAGTTTATAAGTACCTGAAATAGTAATGTCAAAGAACTGCATTGATTGCAATAAATTGTAGTGTTGGCAACTTGATTCCTACATCCCTGGGCCGTGTGGGATCTTATAATTGCTTGCTAACGTTATGTGAAATTTGTGCACATTTTCTTATAACTGTTTAGTCACAATTTACCCTAATTTAATTGGCAATTTGGTTGCCAACCCATCTTAAAACTATTTCATGTTTTCTCTTTTTACCTTGTAAAAACTAAAACCATGAAGGGTTCCAGACACCTAGGAAATGTTTGTGACTCTTTGTTTGTCAACCTTTTTTTTGAACATGTTCTAAATTTCTTTGCTCCAAAAATATTCTGAGAATCCCGTAAGAAAACCGAGAATCATTGTAGCGCACAGTTAAAGCACAGTAAATGAAATGCTGTATTTATATAAGTGACATGCATTTGCACGCTGATCTGATAGATTCTCACTTCTCTCCCTGCCCACGCATGGTTTAGATGAAAGTGGCTGAAATGCTGAACCACACAGAAAGTTTCATGTGTGGTAAAGGCGACAGAACAGAAAGAGCAGAGTGACGGGAAGTTTAGATGTGTCATCGCAGGATGAATATATTAGACTGAGTAGCTTTTTACATTGTTTTAAGCTTTTATCTTGTTGTCCTTTTTAAGCCTGCTGTGTGTGCATCCATGTTGGGCCAAACAAGATGGTGATTTATCAAGTCAGCTTTTCTGGAGCTGTAGACAGGATGCGTTGTGATGACTGATCCTGCCTGATTTTACTCAAATCTCTGCTGCACATTTCCTTCCTCCAACTTCATTGGCCAACTACCAAAGAAGTTCCTCTCATGCATTTATGAAATACTTGACCGTTGGTGTGCAAAGACATCTCAAAATTGCAAGACTAGGCTTTTAAAAGGCACAATATAAAATCATAATAGAAAAACAATAAGAAGACAAAAAATTGGGGGTTGATGGTTTTCTTCTTACTCGGCTATTTAAAACCATAACCTAACATGCACGTTTTTGGTTTGTGGGACAAAACTCAAGCATGCATGAGGAGAACATGCAAACTCTGTGCAGAAAAGCTGCAGCTGAGATTCAAACCAGCAATCTTCTCACTGCAAGGCAACAGTGCTACCAACTGCACCACCATGCAGCAGAAAATTCTGCAATTGCTTAAAAATATCAAAGAGGGTAAATTTCTCTGAAAGCCAGTTAAAAATTACAAGAAAATGTGTCTCATTTGCAGCAAAATATGAAGGCATAAGGAGCAAATGGCTCACGACATTCCTAGAGTACTGTATGTTGAAGATTAATCAGATCTGTCACCACCTCACGACACACCCCAACTATTCCAGAAACCTCCTATCTGCTGATCGTCTAAAACTCTCGGGCAGTCACCGGGCTCTGCTGATTGCCTCATCTGTTTTTGAAATTGTCTCGTCGGTTTACAGACACCCCAGTAGTTAGCAGTGTTTAGATTGGCTACCAGCCATAAATTATTTTATAGTTTCCTCTTTTTCCTTAAAGAAAGGAATTCAGGCGATAGATAGAAGCTGTCACCAGGCATTAGTGTTGAATATAAGGCTACTGTACTTGATTAGCGTGTAATAATTAGCATATGCGTGTAATCAGCATTATTGTGCACCTCATAGCCCTGTGTGACCCTGCTTTGCATAAGACCACAGAAGAAGTGGCACATCCTTCACTTCTCAATAAACGTGGTGTCAGGCCAGCTTTGCTTCTCTTTGCCTTTTTTTCTGTCTTTCTCTTGTAATTTTTTACTGTTTAGTAAAGTATCTCATCTGGGAATAACATTGTCATTTTTATCTTTTTATTTTTTGGGAACGTCTCCGTTTCATCCTCTCATTAGTCTGTACAGTTTCCCCTTCATAACCCTTTGTCCTGTTCTCACTGCTGCCATCCACCCTGAAATCGAGAGGGAGCCCTTGTGGTCGCGCTGAGAGTCTGCTTAATCCCCTCATTGAGAAAGCAGAAGAATGAAACAGGCCAGGGTGTAGGGGGTGAGCTGGAGCATTTACTCCCCATCCTCACCCTCTCCCACCCCCACCCATGGGAGGGCAGAAAGCCACCCCTTCACCAGCCTTCATCTCATTGCCCACTTGTCCCGCTTCACTCCCAACTATTTACAGTCTTGTTTATCGTGCGGTTCTACCTGTGATGTTTAAATCCAAACCCTGTTGATGTGTGCAGAGTTGGTGGTGAAACCATCGACATGGGTGAAACTAATTGCACTAGGTTAGCATTATCATGCGTTTGCAGCAGCAGTGCATTTCTATACATACAAATCTGCAATTGGTGCACAGACTTAACTTTTTATGCTCATTTTGATTCCTGGGATCATTTAAAAATGTAGTTTTGGTTTTGTCCCTTTCTTTAATTTGTCGTATCTTACTTTGAAAGGGCTTATGAACTACAGAAAACGGTCACTTCCTCCCAAATCCCACATTTTTCATCTTTCTAATAGTTATTTGTCAGAATTTTGCCATAATCCATTAAAGGCTTTTCTTTTGGCTGTTGCTAGTTCGAAGACCCTCCTCCCCAAGCAGCAAGTTGTATTTGTTTGCACCCTCGGAAAACCGGGAGCAGAGATGTGGGTGTATGAAGTGGAGAAAGGAGTGATGGGTATTATTTAAAAAAAAAAAATCTTGTTTTTTAGTCAGTTCCCATCTCATCCAGAAAGCACATTTGGGGCAGCGAACTTTGGGATCTCACTTTGTTTATGGATAAGAGGACATAAAAGGGCTTTTATAGCTCTGTCTCTCACTCGGTCTTCCACCCCTCCTCTTCTCCTCTCCCATAGCTTCTCCCGTTCCCTTTTCCCCCCTTTTTTCATTGGAGCACAGGGGTGGGGGCTTTTGGTCATTAATAAAATGGGGAGTGTGTGTGTGTGTGTGTGGTGGGGGTTTGTTAAGGGGGGGGGGGGGGGCTGTCAGGCACAGTCAAGTGTAATCCAAAGTCTACAGCATCCTCTTCGACAACTATTTTAATGGAAATGGGGAACATATTGTATCAAGGCTACCATATCCTACTTGAAATGACAGTATCAAAAGTGGGAGTTGATACTATAGCAACAAAGCAGCTTTTTGCCAGATAGGCGAGTTGGAGAGAGGGTAGGCTGTCAGGCCACAGGGGCCGGCAAGCGAGGGAGCGACTGAGAGTACACGGATAGACGAAAGCGAAAGACCCGTAGCCCTAACGCTTTTGTTCCTTGTCCCCTTTTCTTTTTTCCCATTTTGGAATATGATGCAATGAGATGGTATTATGTTGCCATTTTTAATGCTATTCTTCTGAAAGGGGGACTATATGGGGGGGGGGGGGGGGTGAGAAGGGGGCATGAGGGAGGTTTACGATGCGCACTCTCAAACTTGACTTAATCCATCCTGCTAAAAGCTAATGCATGGTGGCCTTGAACTACTCTCTCTGGAGATGAGTGATCTTTGTCCACTCTCCCCGTCTTTCTGCGCGTCGCTGTTTTTAAGGGTTCTGCCTCTTTTCAGCCCGTTTTCAATGAGCCTGAGGTATTGTGTCCCACACATTATGAATCACATGCTCTTCCTATGGAGTGTAGATTGCACCTTGGATGCCCGTAATTGAAAGTGAAGCTGGGAGTTGTGCTTCAACACAGATGCAGCTAGCTTTCTGCTCCATTTTTAAACCCTTGTTTTGCTTTTAAATCTGACCACTAATCTTAGAGTATGAAATTGTCCCTCTTGCACCTTTGTTTTCTCTTCTAAATAAAAACGGCAAAGCGTGACGATTTTACACAGTTAATGAAATGTTGAGGCCAAACCGGGAGTGGGCTGGTCCTCTGTTCCAATCACTTCGGAGGACAGTAAGTTGAGACACCCGGGGCCTAACCTCTAACCAGCCGTGAAGAGAACAGAGGCCAGAGAAACCTGATCTTTGACTCGCAGCACTCTCACGCACCGCCTCTTTCTGTGTGTTTGTGTGAGCGAGAGAAAAACTGAGTGAGACCTCATTTTTCAGCTCCGTCGTTTTCGCTCCTCCCCTTGTCCTCCGAGGCCAATCTCTTAATCACAGGGTTTGAGGGGATGAGGGAATGGAAAGGCCAAGTGACTTTCTTAACTTACTCTCTCACTGCTAGCTTTATTGTGTTAAGGTCAGTGGTCCGTGTGTGACTGAGTGTGTACAAACAGGCTCGAGTGAGTTGAACTATTATATTTACATTGTCAACTGTTTGGCCAAATCTTGTAATTAACACCTATATGTGCATGCCTCATGGAGCCTGTAGTGGAGTGTTTTCTGTGTGCACATGATGGGATTAGAGTCACGGCGGTGGCAGATTACCTGTAACTGT